ATCTCTGAGCTGATGGATTAATGAAGCAAGCAAGGAAGGGAGGGAGGGAGGGAGGGAGGGAGGAAGGAAGAAAGGAAGGAAGGAAGGAAGGTTTTTAAAATCAAAACAAGGAAGTAAAAATAATAAAGAATATAACCCACTCCACAAAACGACAGTTCTCTCTCCTTCCACAAATCCAATGGGTCGGGAGCGAACATTTGTTCATAACGAGTAGCAAAATCCTCCATTTTTCCAATAATATCCAAAAACGATAACAAGATTTCTCACGGAGCGATCCTTAAGCCATCACAATGCTAGGCCATCGAAGGACTGAACTTCAACACTCAATCGTATATAATCCCTTATTACGAAACCTTTCGCTGTTTTCGTTGATCAAACGTAAACGCTAATAACGATCCGGTCGCTTTTTCCTCAAATGAATTATTTGTAATAAGCCACGTTTTGACAAGTCTTATATCGCTAATAACAGTCTAAGCTTCAAAGGTGGTAATAATAAAACATCAAAGACAAAATTTGAGTTTAATTGGAATTCCTAAATTGAATTGAAAAACACTTTAAATGTTGGCTTAGAGATAATTGTTAGCGAGTTTTTGAAGAGTTTTTAATAAGATGTTATTGGAATATCCAAAATTAGCACTTTTGCAAGAATGTAATTGTTTTAGGCAATTTTGGAAAAAAAATTCAAAAAGCTATTTAACGAGCAAAATTCTATTTTCTTATTTATTTTCGAATAGAAAGGAAGAAAACTATCTTAATATATACTATTTTTAGGCAATTTTGATGGAAATTTAGAGAGTTATTTGACTAGCAGAATTCTGTTTCGTCTTCACTTTCGAACAGCAAGAGAATTAAAAAAAACTTGGTTCGCACATTCTCCGTTTGCCTAGCAGCGCTGTTACATTTCTCAATAGACCGTTTTTCTCAAGGTTGCGTGCGCATCCAAATTTAAGGAACCTGACGGGCCACGATACCAGAACACGAGTATTATCATGCATTCCTTCTGAGATATTTTCCGATAAGAATTCATAGAATCGATTATTCTCCGCTTTAAATTTAAAACTGTCTTCTCAATTTTACTGAAATTGCGTTTTTCAGTTTTTTGGCTTGGATTGGCTTGGAAGTTGGATGCGCACGCAACCTTGAGTAAAGGTCTATTAATTTTGACAATATATTTCAATCATGCGAGAAATGTGACTATAGAGCAGGTGCATGTTACGTCATTGCCGCATCTTGGTTGACGATAACAAAGCATTCCTCATTAGCTTCTCTTGTTAGACCAACGAAGAAGGCGGCTGTTTCATTGTAATCCATATCTCAAAGGAATTTTGAGTCACATGGTTGCTCACACTTCATTAATACAATAGCTAAAGAAATGTACACACACCTTGTCGAAGAGAGCGATGTATAATGAAAATCCGAAGTTATCCATGAGTGAGATCTTGTCTGCCAGTTGGGTGCAAAGTTCTCTCGCTGTTGTCGAAGAATCAGCCAGTAAAGTCTTGGTTCTCCCGTCCATGAATGTTATGGGTAACATTAGTGGCTTCTTCGACTTAGTTGCCTTAAAAAACAAATTGAAAATATTAGAATAAATGATTAGGGTAAAAATTTGGCTCAGATCAATGTGTGTTACAACATTACGTCATCTTCTTCTTCGACACTGCTCGAGTCTTTCGCTACGAAACACGAACAGCGCTTAATTCCAGGAAACATCACTCAAAACGTGTCCTGAGTAAGTTTTTTTAAGTTACTAAGTCAGCTTTTTACAGCTTGGACTCTGTAAATTCGCAAACTACAACTGTGTTGTTGTCACAGACAAGTGAACATGGACTTGGTTGGCTCTTTTGCGAAGCAAAATATTCACACATACCAATGGCAAAGTAATTAAGACAAAAGATTAAGAAGAACAAAAAAATGTGAAAAATAAATGTGTTTTATACTATCCCAAGGGAATGTACTTGCGCAACTTTATAAACTGAAAGTTTTATTTTAGAAAAATTTTCATGTATTTGAAATTATTTAAAAAATTACACATCAAACTATGAATTTTTGAGTGAAAAAACTAACTTCTTTTGAACCTTTTTTTATTGAGAGGCAAGCGCTACTTTTAGAGTCAAGACAAATTGATTTATCCATATTAATAGACAGCTGCCAATCAAATAATAATGAACTACACATGACATCAATTAGTACCAAAGGCTGACAAGATTGGCAGCGAATGTACCCTTCTTAGAATTGTCTTGAATGCAAGGCTAACATGGAAATACAAAAGAAATGCCACAAATAGACCGTTTTTCTCAAGGTGCGTGCGCATCGAAATTTAAGGAATTTGACGGGCCACGATACCAGAACACGAGTATTATCATGCATTGCTATGAATTTTTTTTTCGATAAGAATTCATAAATCAATTATTATAGTTTTTAAATAAAAAACTGTCCTCTCAATTTTACTGAATTTGCGTTTTTCAGTTTTGGGGTCCGTCAAGTTGGATGCGCACACAACCATGAGAAAACGGTCTATTGCCACAAATTCCATCGAGAAAAAGTGTGATTTCTTTTGCATTTCCAAGTCAGCGTCGCATCCGCGATACTTTTAAGAAGGGTCCATTCAAGATATTCTCGTTCCGAAAGCACGCATTACTTTTGGTTCCTTTTCGCTTAGAGAAGAACAACATTGTTTTCTACTCAGGCAGAACCAAGGAAGAACTAGGCATGCGCAAAATTAGGGAAATTATTCATTTTAAAATGCCAAATAAAGAGTATTACGTTGAGAAAGTAGTATGAGGAAATAAATATTTCGTTCTTATATTGATACATTGAAATAAATTTTAAAGAATTAGAAATATTTTGTTTTTAATCGCGTCCGCCATTTTCCCGCCTTTTTCTCCGTACATGCGCAGTAGGGTTTCCCGTGGCTGCGTTTACGAATAGTAGTACATAAAGAATCAAGTGTATCCGAATTTGTCTTACCTGAAGCTCTAGCCAGCTCGGTGGCTGATCTCTGCAGCCATTCTGTTGTGTTCTTCGTAGTCGTTCTTCGCAGTAAGGAGCGTAGCCAGGCGGACCTTCACTGATGAAGCATTTTAGGTATTTCTCGAACTAGAAAAGAGCAAGAAATGTTCATATGTTTTTATTATATAGTTGGGATAGTACGCGCGTGCTGTTAGGTCAAAAACTGTGCTTTATTAGTGAACGAAGCACAGTGCTGAAGCCATCCGCGCGCGAAGTGCTGCTAAATCCTGCGACCGTCTTTCTTTTTGTGTAAATAAATTCAATATTGAAAAAAAAATACTAGCTATATGATAAAACAGCTTTGTCCGTGCTCTGTTTAGTAATAAAGCACGCAAGAAAAGGCGCTAGCACGAAAGTAGTGTAAGGAGAGTAAGGCTTCTCACACTTCTTGAATGCTTACGGCGCTTCCTAATTTTTCCTTGCTCCATTCAGTAATAAAGCACTTAGGAAGCGTCGCAAGCATTCAATAAGCCTATGGCTCGTACTTCTCCTTACACTCGGTCGATCAGTCGGTCGTTCAGACAGACAGTCGGTCGGTCAAACATCCTGTCAGGAAGGAAAATAAAATAATAACTGAAAAAAGAAGACTGACGAATACATACCTTATCTGAAGGAGCAAAGCATCCCAGACACAGTGACAACAATATCCACCCTCTTGCGTGACTAGTCTTAGAAGGATTCGCGCTCAATTGTTTACATATTTGGCAATAAATCTCGTCACGCAATTCAAGTCTCAATATTCCATGGCCGATAATGAAGTGAAGTTTTTCCAGGTTTGATGTTGGGCGGTCCTGTGCAGATAATGGACCATATCCACCATCTAGAGTACCACTTTCTTCAGCCTCCCTCAGCTTAGTAGCCACGTCCTGTCAGAAAATATGGACTCTATTAGACTCTAGGCAGATCTTTATAGCCATAACTATTAAATGAATCCAATCTCTTTTTTTTTTTCCTAGCTGCGTGCAAGCAAGAAGCCTGATTGCTTTTGAAAATGGCTGGCTCACCACACGATTTAACTTAGTCCCCGCCCACACGTATCCGGAAATTTTCGTATCCGGAAATTTTATTTTGCGGATACGGGTTGCGTCCACACGTGTCCGGAATTTTTTGTATCCGTATCCGAAAATTTTCGAAAATTTTCGAAAACGGTCTCCAGAGTGGAAATTTTCGAATACGCTCCGAATATGGATACGTGTGGACGGTCGTATCCGCAAATTTTCGAATACGATAACGTAAACACGATTTTGTGCATGCTCAATAAGAAAAATTATTCGTCAAATGGACTAGGCACTAGCGTGCATCAGGGCGGATCGAGAAATTTCCGGATAAGTGTGGACAGTGAAAACGATTCGAAAACGATTCGAATACGCTGCGTGTGGACGCAGACATTTTCGTAACCGAAAAAAAAAAATTTCGGATACAAAAGTTTCCGGATACGTGTGGACGGGGCCTTAGAGCAGTTTTGTTATGACTGTGAAAACTTCACGGCACGGACTTGCCTTGTGATGCGCATGAAGTGAAGTGTCTGAGCATTTTGATTGGATAAGCAGTTAGCTCGCGCGCTGTGATTGGCACAAAAGATTTCGTCAATTCCGTACTGTTAAAAAGGTACGAAATCTGTTGATGTGGTAGAAACAAAGTACTAGTTTTTACCTTGGTGATTTTGGATTTTCGTTTCAAAGTCAGAGATACAATTCTTTTGCGATTTGCTTCTCTTATTCGTCCAGGAGACTGGGACCCCTAAGTAAAGAAATAAGAAATGTTTTAAATAGCACGGACGCAAAGACGCAGGCAGACAGACAGACAGACCTGTAGGACGGGGCAGGGTGATAACAAATAAAAAGGTATGTATATAAACTGTGCGACAGACAGACAGGCCAAAGGACAGAAAGACAGACAGACGGACACGCAGGGTAGCAGACAGGCAAATAAATATTAATATAGACACACAGATAGACAGATGAACAATCACGCCGACAGACAGACAGACTGGCAGACAGACAGACAGACTGGCAGACAGACAAGCAGACAGACAGACAGAAAGAGCAGACAGACAGACAGACAAAAACACTTACAGTGAAATCGTCTACTCCTTCGACTCCTTTCTTGGTGAACTTCTTTCCCAACGTATCGTAAAGTTTGCTCATGACAGACGAATTATCCTGTTGACAAACCAAGAAATAAGTCACATTATCCCAAAAGAAATGTCCAAGCTCCTTGATTTCTCACTCACCTTGGCCTCGGGATTAGAGGTGATGTACTTGGGCTCTGGTAGGTCACCCATGAATCGAAGGATCGTGATCCACACGGCGAGAGAAGCCTGGACACAAACAAAAATACATTAAGCTTAGTTGCTGCTCCTATAAAAATGCAGCTGCGTGCTGCATAAGTAAAGCCTTAGTACACAATGAGGATCAAGATATGTTTGGTTAAACTGTTACATGATTGGCCACTTTCCATATAACGGAATACTTTACAGTCAAAATGGCTCAATCTTTACCCCCTACGTGCTATTAATGGTTTCATCATTCGATTATTGAAAGAAAAAAAATTTTTCCTCAGAGTACAAACATTCAGGATTCAAAATCATAATAAATAACCGATTAAAAACTCGCATTCTGATTGGATTACGGAGTTCCTTATATGGAATAATCCAATTAGGATTCGAGTTTTTAATCGGTTATTATTCTCGATTCTAAGTCTTCTTGTTTTCAGAAAGAATAATTTTTTTCAATATTTGAATAATGAAACCATTAATGAAACATAGGGGGTAAGTTTGAGCCGTTTTGAACTTAAGGGATTATTTAAAAAAAACTTATCCGCAATAATCCTGTAGCGAGATGACGTTTAACCCCCGACTCTATACCATAATAGTTTTTAAAATTCTTTCATATTAACATTTTTGATTCCTTAGAGAATACTGGAACAGTCATAATTAAAGAACAAAAGCAGTGTGAAAAGGATTATGGTCTAGAGACGGGGGTAAAACGTCATCTCGCTTCAGGCTTATTAGCATCCCCCGCAGGCTACTCCATATATTCTATATTCTTTGTTGGGATCCCTGTATTAAATTTCATGGCAGAGAAGAAATAGGAATTTTGTCCTCGCCACAGGAAGCCCAAGGAGCAAAAAGAGCCAAGGCGATGCCTGCGGAGGAGGCTAATTTGCAATGACATTATAGGATCTGAAATTGTAAAATGCGAGCTAAGTCCCTCTATTTCCCTTTGACACTGTCCGTCTGTCTGTTCGTGTTGATTGGACTCGTAACCAATCTTCCTCGACCAATCGACAAAGACAGACAGACGGACAGTGACCAAGGGAAGTAGAGGGACCTAGCTCCCAGTCTACTGAAATTGAATAGAGGGGACTAAAAGCTCCGGTTTTTTAAAACCCAGAGCGTGGTACAGGGTTTTTTATAATGATTTGCTTACCATGCTATCAGCTTCTGAATTCAGGAGCAGTAGTGATTGTTTCAGAGGTTTTCGTATGTAGGTATGTGTGGCACCCCCCTGGAAGTATGTGGCTGCGAATTTCGAGAATTTGTACTCAGACACGTCTTCTTCGGGCTGAAGAAAGAAAACAAAGAAGCCACTTAGTTGAAATATCCACGCGCTATCAGATAATACAGGCTTAATAATGATAACTGGCTAAGATGACAGTATGGTGATAGTAATCAGTGGTAAATGATAAAAACAGTTCATGACTGATTATGATGATGATGATTGAGGGTAATTGATGATTAAGATGAATGATGATAAACAATGGCTTATGATGAAGAATATGAAGAAAGTGATGAAAGTTGATGGTGGTGGTTGATGATGGTTAACTTGATGTGATGTAGAGGTGATGATGATGATGATAGTGATGATGATGACGGTGATAATGGTGATGATGATTATGGTGATGATGATGGTGGTGATCGATGATGATGATGGTGATGATGAAGATGGTGATGGTAATGATGATGATGGTGATAGTGATGTTGATGATAATGATAATGATGATATTGGATATAATAAAAAAAATTGAAAGCCTGATCTTTCATCACCTTTTTGATGA